GTTTTTTTTGTTTTGCAGTTTGAATAGAAATCTTATACAGTACAGTTTGTCGATCTAAAATGGTAATAGTGCATTAACGCTGTCAACCATGTAGGTACGCAAACGCGCGCTCTGAACTAATTTACACAGCGCATTTCTTATTTTGGTCGCGCATGCGGACCTGCGGACCACTTATGTGCACCCCTATATATATATATACACATACATATACACATACATCATTGCATTGCAACTGACAGATTAGAATCAGTTGTATTACTAATAGCTAATTAGTATGGACATGACAAGAAGCATCCATAATTAACAAACAAGTCAGTGCCAGCTGTGACCTGTTTCAGAGAAACAATTCAATGGCCTTTCTAAAATGAACCCTAACCCTACATAATTCCTCTTTAAGCAAACATAATTTAAATCCCAACCACAAATTTTGTATACAAATCTACATAAGATGAGGATAAACACAAGACAAGTTACTCTTAACCTCATGGGAGGTGATTCTGGTTATTGCAATCAGTACCACATGGAGAAATGTCAGTCTTAATTGGCTGGTAGGGTACAGAGGTGTGCCCCTCAGCCCCCACCCCCTGCTTGCCTCTAGATGAGGTAGATATGTGGGAGGTTCAGAACAGTTAGAGAGAGAATCAGTTTTCAAGGACTTTAAGCAAGGTAGGTCATACATAAGTTGGTTGCATGACTTTCTCTTACCGAATGCAGCTCTTCTACATCATAGTTCTTGATCCACTAATTTCCACATATATGTAACACGTTGAGCAAACTCTATTTTTTGTTTACTTGCATGTCTCTAATAGTAAGTTAAGTAATAGTGGTAATGGTAATACTTAAGTGGTTTAACTGCCTAACATTTAAAAAACAATTATTTTATTATTGTACATGTATAGTACAAAATACCACAGTTGTTCTTGGTATCCAGATGAATAGTTTCAGAGTTCACATATAGATTTACAAAGGACCAGGTGTCCATTAGCTTTTTGTTTTAAATGAGTATGTATGAGCATTCATTGATCAGTCTCTTTAGTTTAATGAGTCATGGAGTAGTCTTGCCCTTTAACAAGGTCAGTATAAGAAGGCTGACCATTCTGTAATGGCTTTTATAGCAGTATGTGCTACATTATCTTCACATTGTTCAAATCAAGTTGTGGTGTGTGTGTGTGTGCGCGCGCGCGTGTGTGTGTGTGTGGTATTTTTTTGGGTAGAACGGGCAAAAGAGATCACAAGCAAGATGACAAATGTCTTCAGGAAGTTGGGTAGCCATCAACAGCTGTCTGGCAGCTCCTCCTGTTGAGAGACATTTGAAAGGGCACAACAGTTCAAGCATTGCATAGTAGGCTACAGAAGTGTTTGCTAATCCTGGTCCTGGAGCACACCCCACATTACACATTTTGGATTCCTTCCGCATTTAACGCCCATGATTCAACTCATCAGGTCATTAGTTGGGTGCTCATGAACTGAATTAGGTGTGTAAATAAGGGAAACATAAAAAGTACAGTGCTGGCAGTGTTCCAGGATCAGGAATGGGGAAACTCTGGGTTAGAAGCCATATAATTAACTCCGTGATCTGAAATAAAAACTGCTTGTGTTGCTGTTTTTTTTTTTTTTAAAGTTGTAATTTGTTTTGATACTTGGTAGTATTACATTCAACATGTTGTACCTAGAATTACGAGAACAGCTTTTGGTAGGAACATAAATGAGGTAGGGTGTGAATCCAGTGCCAGGCAAACAGATCTTGCTGTACAGGGATATTCAGTAAACAAGCATGATTTTGGCAGTTCAGCATTAATTATTCATAAGCCTTTGTCAATTAATATATTTAAAGTCATGTTGACCAATCAGGTCAAGTACTCTAACTTTCCTGTTGAATTAAGCACCATCAATGACACAAGTTTTGTGACACCGTTTCTTCACTTTTTGTCGCAGTTGAGACCTGACCTGTACAAAGCATCATGGGTGGAGCGGTTGTAGACACTGGTGACAATGGGGTCAAGGCACCTGATGGCGGGTGGGGTTGGGCTGTTCTCTTCGGCTGCTTTATCATTACAGGTTTCTCCTACGCCTTCCCCAAAGCAGTCAGCGTCTTCTTCAAAGAGCTTATCCGGGAGTTTGGAGTGGGCTACAGTGACACGGCTTGGATCTCCTCTATACTTCTTGCAATGCTTTATGGCTCAGGTACAGATGTCCACTGACAGCAGGGATAGATGAGGATATTTTGTGGCTAAGTGGTTTTTCAAATTGCAGGTCCACAAGAAGGATCTTGTAATATTATCGTCCTATTCTTTCTTGGAAATCATGATTCTGCATGCTAACAGTAGTTTGCTTTTTGCAGGGCCTATATGCAGCATCCTAGTGAACCGTTTCGGGTGTCGCCCTGTGATGATGGTCGGGGGCCTTTTTGCCTCACTTGGTATGGTTATGGCATCTTTTGCAACCAACATCATCCACATCTATCTCGGCACAGGAGTCATAACTGGTGAGTACTGTTTTGTGAATACTTATGAAATTCTGATGTACTTCATTTCAATGCATTAACACCCTCAAACTATGTTCTCCAGGTTTGGGTCTTGCTCTGAACTTTCAGCCATCCCTCATCATGCTGAACAGATATTTCAGTGAGAAAAGGCCCTTGGCCAATGGGTTGGCTGCAGCTGGAAGTCCCGTGGCTCTGTGCTGTTTGTCTCCTCTTGGTCAGGTTCTTCAATATGAGTATGGTTGGCGTGGAGGCTTCCTAATCCTTGGAGGGATTCTACTGAACTGCTGTGCATGTGGAGCCCTCATGAGGCCCTTGAAAGCACCCAAAAAAACAAGCGAGGTGGACGAAAAGAAGGAATCCAAACCAAAGCCTAAGCTTCTTGACTTCACCGTCTTTAAAGATCGTGGCTTTTTGATTTACACTGTGGCTGCGGCCATTATGGTGTTGGGTCTTTTTGTGCCTCCTGTGTTTGTGGTAAGCTATGCCAAGGAACTGGGCAATGAGGACACCAAGTCTGCCTTGCTGCTCACCATACTAGGGTTCATCGACATCTTCGCCAGGCCAACATGTGGTATCATCGCTGGGCTCAAGTGGGTTCGGCCACGATGTGTTTACCTCTTCAGTTTCGCTATGATCTTTAATGGCACTACTGATATTATCGGCTCCATGGCCAAAGACTATCCATCTCTCGTGGTGTTCTGCATCTTCTTCGGTGTCTCCTATGGCATGGTTGGAGCCTTACAGTTTGAAGTGTTGATGGCCATTGTGGGGACAGAGAAGTTCTCCAGTGCCATTGGCTTGGTGCTGTTGGTTGAAGCCATTGCTGTGTTGGTGGGACCACCTGGAGCAGGTCAGAGTCATTTATGTTCTGTAGTTTCTGTGCTGTTAAAGAGAAGTCATAAGATAAGCAATGAATCAACTAAAACATACAATTACATGACCAAAGTATCTCCTCTAGTCTTTTAGATTACCTACCAAAGCAAACCACATTCTCTTTGCAAATGGTCAAAAACAAAAATATTGTTGGAATGCAGGTGGCCCTTTATGTACCTTACAAGAACCCTTTGTTTAGTGTTGGAAGGGCCTTATATTTGTACAATACCATATGTTAATTCCTCATTTGGATTGTTTAGACCTCCAAACACAACAAATGGATGTTATAGTTGTCCCAACAATGACAGCTGCTGCTCATAGGTCATTGACGTGTGCCCTGGTGACCTGTCAGGGCTGCCGCCACAATTGGTCAATCCATGTGGGTAGTTTATCATGCTTCTCTTGTTTCGTTTCACAGGTCGTCTTCTGGATGCCACAAATAATTACATGTTCGTCTTCCTGCTGGCTGGGTGTGAGGTGGTCCTCTCGGCCCTTGTGCTCGCCATTTGTAACATGCTCTTCATCAAAAGGAAGCCCCAACAGCCTGACCCTCCAGCAAAAATGGAGATGGCCATTACTGAGACTGAGATGGAGGAGCTCAACAAAGCACCAAAGGACAACCAAGACAACGGAGGTGGTGAAAACGGGAAGAAGCAAGCCATCGAACATGAAGTAATGACAAAATCTGATGATAAAAAGGTTGAAGAGCCTGAAAGCATAGGGGTGGACTCGATAGAGGTGGAGAACGCTTCCAAAAAGGTGACTGAACCAAACTGTGTGGTTGTAGAACCTGAATCCTCTCTGTGAAGATACTAGAACAATAGATATGACAGAGCTTCTCTTGTAGGACTCATGGATGTGCGTTTGTTGTAGTGTATGCTTTTTGTATCGAGCTTCAAGTGTGGTTGCAGAGGACCGCTTTTAGACCTGCTCTGCAGTTCCGATTTAGCCATTTTTAGGCCGACCACTGCCTTGTATGTTAGCAGATGTCATATCCTGATATGTTCTCAAAAGTTATAAAAATAGAATAGATTTATACTGTGGCATCAGATTTTTGGCCAGTAAACACTCCACATCAGAGCAGGTCACCAGCAGTATACTGAATATTACCAGCTTGTGTCTTTGTGGCATTCAGTGTTTGCTAATGTGGATTTAGAATATATTGTCGTCATCTGTAACATTTTAAACTGGTCCTGGGAGAGCACAGGGTTGTATTAAAGTCCTGTATTTCAAACAAATAGAAATGACATTCAAATGAGGATCCTAGTTAGTCTTTTTAAATTGGATACATTCTTGAGGAATGTACAGTTCAGACATGCTTGTATTTTTGTGAACCGTTTCAAAGTACATATTATTGGAGGACAAAGCTGTTACATAATTTTTATAGTGTTTGGGTTTTTGCTATTGTTAATTTGAACTTTTCTTGTATAGATTCAGTATTTATATTAAAGTGTTGATGTCAGTGGACAGCTCCACTTTATATTTATTTGTATTTTATTCATCTAAATGTCAGTGTTTTCAGCTCAACTGCATCAATCAGGAGAGGACCTGATATGTTGGTTATGTAACATTTATTTTCAGTTCAATCAACATTGACTCGAATGCTATTTTTTTTAATTTTTTTTTTAATTTTTTATTTTTTGGAAAACCAAATAGTACTACAAGATTTATGAAAATGGTGGTATGGGTAAAACCCGTCTAAACTCTACCTTGTTTTGTTTTTCACCAGCACTGTATGAGTAGGGACCCTCTTTTACTACGTTCTAAAGACACTTGAGCTGTTTTTGGTTGTGCCTTTAAGTCTTGTAGCCATACAGAATTTGTGAATTATTTTACAAAATAAATATCCTTCCCTCTCCACTGGACCTTGACTCATGTTATGGTGTTTTTTTTGTTGTTTTTTTTTACTTCAAGCTGACATGACTCAATCCCCCACTTTATTTGGAATTCAATTAAAAATGATGCATTAAATTACTGAGTGAACTGATTTGCCCTGAAATTACGCTAGTAAAAGGGTACTGGACATTGTAAATGACCACAATGTTTACTCCTACAAGACAGTAAGACATAGTCCAGATCCTATTAGCACAGGATTTGTGCAGTATTTTCAGTTCAGTCCAGCTGGTGTCATTCTGTATATGCACCTTAAGCAGCGGCTCATCTGAAACAGTGAGGTAAACTAGCCAGGTGATCAATCCTGCTCCTAAATATCTACCCTTGCTGTGGAGTTTAAATCTAAACTTGCTTAAATGATCACGTTAACACAAATGTTAAGCTAAAGTAAGCTGAAACCATTAATGTAGAGTGGCTAAAGTACTTGATTTTTCTCAGACTTAAGCAGAGCAACAAGACACAGCACATTGTATTATCTATGATGACACAAAGCAATTTTGGATGTTTCAGTGCAACTATGGTATTGGATGCATAGGAGACAAAAAATTGATTACAGATGCATGAGAAGAGCATAGAAAATAGATAGTAGATTGTAGCTAGAAACAAAAAATGTCAGTAGGATAGTGGGTTTAGCATAGAGGAAAGAAAGATGAAGCTCCAAGCCTACTGGAGAACGCTATCATGAGAAATTCACAGTGACACAGGAATAGTGGGTTACTATACTGCCTGAGGTATCAATGTCAGTAACTCTGATACTGGCATAAACTACACAACCCAGTTCTTTCTAGAAAACAGGACATGTTTTCAAAAGTAATAAAATCTTAATGGTGAATAAGCAAAACCAACTACATTTAATTGCCTATACCCTATGCACATATGCACAGAATTTTAATTTTATGACAGCAGCACAAAACAACTTGCCCCACTAATTATTTACTGATAAAAAATAAAAATGCAACCACAAGTACAAGTAATTCATTTATTTACACTTTAAAATACACAAATACGGTGGTAATACAAATTCTTACAGGAATGACAAATTGGCATGACTTCCACAGAAGTATGTGGATCCCAAAGCAGCCATGGGCTTCAAAATGGGGGAGAATCAGATGAAAAATTTGATCCAGTAAGTTGCCAATGTCCCCTACAGATGACAGGGGAACAAGATGACCAGACCAGCTTTCAAGGTGCATTAGAAAAACCACGTATGTGCTGGAATATTTCATAAAAGGGGAAAATCACTAAAACATCAAAGCAAGACTTTGATTTGTTTTCGGTCTTTCAACCTTTGCAAAGACAATCGATATCTCCAACAAATTATTTTTAACTTCCAAAACACCATCTGAACCATCAGAACACAAACTTGCAGCAAAGCATAACCAACCTTTTCAGAAGACACATGTTGCAGTTCTAAGCATGATCTCCATGAGTCAAAACATCACCCTCAAGAGTCAAAGTTCAAGTTCAGAATGCACAAAACCCCCAAAGTCTGGCACTTCATTGTTGTAGCTTTATGAAAGAGTGGATAAAAATAACTGCCGATAACTTTCAGACTCAAACCATCTGTGGTCATTTCATAGTCTTTCTAAAGAGTTGCATGGAAACATTTACACGATTATTTTAGTTATTTCACAGCTTAGAAACAGAAGAGACAAAATAATGGGGGAGGCAGTATTGTACAGTTAAAGAGATCAATATAGCAGACAAACGGCGAGGTTCATAGGGTCCCTCTGTGAGGACATGTACGAGTGAAAACCACGCTGTGGAGTCAGTTTGCTATGAGCGATGTATGCTGAGATTCTGGCCCCTTTGTGGTCAAGTCCACTCTATACCACCAGCTTCACCGTGGGAAAGGAACCTCACCAGCTACAGAGGGTTATTAAAATGTATATTAAAAAATAAATACAGAGTAAATAAAAAAAAAAACTAAGTAAACCCATAACGCCACCAGACGGACTCGTCTGTTGCCCAGGTTAAAATACAGAAGAAAATTCAGTATACAAAGAAACAAAAAGACCCATTTAAACCACACAGACGATACATTAGCCTCAATCGCGAGGAGCCTGAACCAGAGAAAGTTGTGCAGCACTGAATGTGTAAGAGTGGAACTGTGAAGGAAGGAAGCAGATGAGGACAATGGTGTGTCTGGCTGATCCAGTCTCTGATTGGTCAACCCACTGGTGTGAATTCGCAACAGGCTGTAGCTCTCATGTCCACGAGAACATTTAAAGAGAGTGGGGGAGAAAATATGAGAAAATGAAATAAGAAGAAGAGGAGAGAGAGCCTGTAAGCAAAGAGGTCAGGTTGGTTCTACACCATTTTGGTTTGGTCAATAGAAGAAAGAGACTGACGCCCTATCTATTAGCTGATGGTGGAGAGTGGTCAATCAGCTGTGTGTAGTTAGGTTGCCCATCGTGCTCCATATTGCAAAGTGGAGGCTTCTGGGACATGGAGACAATCTGTAAACAGCAACAAGAGAAAGAGACATCCAATAAATGACAACTGCCACTGACCAAAAAGTCTTTTAAAAAGACTTAAAGAATGATGTATTTTATAACAGAATGAATCTCACAAAACTGTCTGGGTCATATTTTAAGCCAAAATTAAGATATAAATGAAAAAAAATGGTTTTAATATTAGTAATCAAATGTGTGTGCATATTGGGTGGGTATTCAGTGAATTTTTTTTTAAATCAACACTAGCAAGGACACATTAAATTGATTAAAGACTTCCACATCGTTACAAAAGATTTATATTTTGAAAAAAATACACAGTTTCCACTGTTTTTAACATTCAGAATAAATTTTCTTCTTGAGTACCAAATTAGCATATTAGAATGGTTTTGAAGGATCACGTGACACTAAAGACTGGAGTCCTGACTGATGGAAAATTCTGCTTTGCCATCACATGAATAAACTGTATACACAATATATAGCTATTTCAAACTGTAATATTTCACAATATTGGTGTTTTCAATGTATTTCTGATCAAAGAAATAGTCCTGGTTTTTGACCAGTATATATACACTGTATATATATGTGTATATATATATATATATATGCAGTTACCACAAGCTAATCAAACTCACCTGGTGCACCTGCCTTCACACAAGGATGTGACCATCAACTACTTGCCGTGGTGATCGAAGGGAATGCTATTCTGAAGTGAAGAGAGAGAACATTACAGCCTTCCACCCCAATAAACACAATCACATGTGCACTGACACACTGCTCACACCGACTCATAATCATACAATGCCTACTGTCTGTCATATTGGAAAAAAAAAATGCTGCTGAAATGACTTTTCCCAGAAACACAAACGTTAGGTCAACCGGTTCCTAGAAAAGGCTTTTCAACTATCCAATAAGCAGATTCAATTTTAAGTTAAATGTCACCAGTCAGAAACTCTAAAAGAGATCATGAGAATCAAAAGGTCAATTACTGCAAGCAATAAAAGATGCACTAATATTTCAACAGGTATTTATTTTTGTGAACAATTTATGTGTAGAAATAAGAATTCCTAGTGTAACCATTCAAAGCCAGAGGCACTGAACTATTCGTTCTGCCAGAGTAAAATCTCTTTCAGTAAGCAAATATCAAAACAGCTCATTCAGATACAGACTGGCTACTTTTGTAATGCAGTTTATTATTGCTCTGCTTAAGGCTTGAATGAGCAGGGTCTGCATTATACCTGTGATGTGGACATGCGGGAGGTGTCTTGTCGCCCCGTCAGGTCTGAGGACGACACGTTCACTGGGGCGCCACGATGAAGCCGCATGCTGACCTTCCGTTCGCGCTCCATGCCAGTGACCGGTCTCGGTGAGGATGTGTTTGCTGTGAGATAGTGAGAAGCATGAGATGACTCCTTGTAGTCTTTCAAGTACCTGAGAGTTAAGTGACAGACTGTTTACCTGTGTGAGAGGTGGGGGTGAGGGGTGTGGCAGGAGCTCCGTCCTGTGTGGGGCGGGGTCTGCCTGAGGCTGCTGGAATCCCTCGAGCTGCAGGATTCCTGCTGTGCCTCATCCGCTCGTCTCGCTCTCTCCTCTCACGTTCCACCTCCTCTGCTGTACGGTTGGCACCCTGAGAAAGGGGAAATGCTAAATAATGAAACACTGAAGCAAATAGTGCTACTTGATGCACACAGGAGACTTGACACAATTGATTCAAATACTCTAGTACATATCCCCCCAATAAAAAAAAAAATCTAGCAAATACAGATTTTTTTGGTTTAAAAAAATCCAGACTTATCAGCACTACATTAAGTATGCAACCATTTAAAAGTTCAAGGCCTGTAAGACTTGTTTTTAAAGAAATTAACATATTATTCAGCACAGATGCATGAAATTTACTTAAAAGTGACAGTAACAACATTTATAGAAGTACAGGATTTGTTTGAAATAAAAAAATATCTATTTAAAGAATCCTGAAAAAACAAAAAAACACCATGGTTACCCCAAAAATATTAAGCTTAAAATACAGATTTTTTTGGTTTAAAAAAATCCAGACTTATCAGCACTACATTAAGTATGCAACCATTTAAAAGTTCAAGGCCTGTAAGACTTGTTTTTAAAGAAATTAACATATTATTCAGCACAGATGCATGAAATTTACTTAAAAGTGACAGTAACAACATTTATAGAAGTACAGGATTTGTTTGAAATAAAAAAATATCTATTTAAAGAATCCTGAAAAAAAAAAACCACCATGGTTACCCCAAAAATATTAAGCTTAAAATACTGTTTTCAACATTGATAAGAAATATTACTTAGCAAATCAGCATATTAGAATTATTACTGAAGAATCATGTGACACTGAACACTACAGAGTAATGATGACTGCTTAAATTCAGCTCTGCCATCACAGTAATAAATTACATTTTAAAATGCATATTAAGATTACAAAACCGTTACTTTAAATAGTAATAACACTTTACAATATTACTGTTTTTACTTTATTAAATGCAGCAGGTGAGCATGAGACATTTTTCAACAACTTTATTAAAAAAAAATCATAAAGCTCTTAATTTCTTCAATAATGTGACAAACTATAATATAATGCCTTTATTAACAATCAGAAGTTATAATAACTGGAAAATCATGTGTAGATGATGGCAATTCAGAATAGTCAAAAGTCAGATTATTGCAGTCAATGTAAGCAATCAAGTGAGTGACATGAACACTAGAAATAGAGATGAATGATTTAGAAATGTTTGGATGATACTGATATGATATTTTGTTGCTTTGCCTGTGATCTTCGTTTTGCCTATTTCGATTATGGCTGCAAACAAATACTTTAATCCTATTAAGGATTACAAAAAGTGGATTTATGTGGTGTAATATTTAAAAACTCAGAAATGTAACCACCATCTACACACACAATGTTGTACCTCTGCACAACACAATAATCATACCAAATCAATAACAGTTTAAGTCTCATATATCACTAATGAACAAACTACAACAAGCAACACAAGTTTCATTTATCACACTCTAAAGAACAATAACAGTTTAAGTCTCATATATCACTAATGAACAAACTACAACAAGCAACACATTTATCACACTCTAAAGAATGAAGACCATCCAGACATGTACTTACAAATTTGAGCATGTTCCAGTCAAACACGTAGTCATAGGAAAAGCCCTGTCTGTGGAACAGATTCCTGAAGAGTTGCCTCAAGTATGAATAGTCTGGCTTGTCATCAAATCGCAGTGATCGGCAAAAGTTGAGGTACGTAGCAAATTCAGCTGTGGGACACAAAACAAACAGCCATATTACAATACAGGATTGTAGACATTTCAAAGACAAAGTCTGATTAACATTTACAAAAATGTTACAAATTACACAAGGCTTTGAACATACATGGGTAGCCCTTGCAGAGAACTTCAATGGGGGTGGACATCTTCTTTTCACTGATACGCTCATACTTCTGTCTCTTGGTGGCGGCTTTCAGTCCTTGCCAAGGCAGAGAGCCCAAGTTGAAGTACATCAGCACATAACCGAGAGACTCCAGGTCATCCCGCCGAGACTGCTCTGTAGAGACACGCGCATAGAATTATAGATGCTTGCATGGAGCATGAAAGGATGACTGCTACTGTATGATTCATGAATGAGCATTTATATTGCTGCAAACACACGTGCACAAATCAATCTCTTCTGGGAAATGCTAAAAATATACATGCATCCACTTGAGCATGAGCTGATGTCATACAGAGCCAGTAGAGAAATGGGAAAGAAAAATGAATCACGAAAGCTTGTCAAATGATCAGTACAGCTACAGCTGTCGCTAGGGCTGGACAATAAATCGAATTGTAATTGTGATGGCGATTACTGCTTCTCTTTATTAATTAAGCATAATCATCTGTGATATTTGGCCACTTGTTATTTATCCTGAAAGTATTTTTTGTCCTTTGGCATTATCTTACATTTGTAACAAGCTTTCCACCTGCTTTCATGCTTGGGGTTTCCAGATATCAAAGTTTTTGTTTAAATGAATACATTTTCTGTCCAGTGTAATACTTGCATGCACTTTATGCATGCACTCTCTCTGAGGAACAAAAACACTGGTGATCTGAAAACACCAGTAAACCTGTACGAGTTTAGAGATCTCCACTGAGATATTCTGCTCAAATGAAAGTGTAATACAATCAGTCTGTTCCTTCACATGGCCATTCATGCTATTTGCTACAACTAAATCTATCAAACTAATTAAATCTAAACATGGGTCTCTGTTGTGGTTGCGGAATAGGTGCACTTATGCAACATCTGTCACAATATAAAGTTTTTTTTGTTGTTTTAATAGAAAAACATTAATAAAATGTTGGAATTGTTGGAGTTAATATTAGGAATCTTACAGGTTTAGCTTTTGAGAGAAGCTTCTTGTTTTACCAGGTTTTACAATGTAGAGAAAGTGTGTTAATTTATATGATTTGTTAGATACAATTAACCAGGAAACTAGATGAGGTAAATTAAATATGAGTTGATATTTGTACGAATGTGAACGTGCTAAAATACTAATTAAATGTAAAAAAAATAAATAAAATAAATCATATGACAATAAATTCATTAATTGTCGTGCAGCCCTTGGCAGAGCAGCACTGTCTATGACAAGAAATCTGGGTCACATATTTATTTATTTATGATTTAATGCCATGTCAGCAGCAGTGGCTATATTCATGGCAAGAGGAAACATGTCAATTTCACAATTCAGTCATATATATCATTTCAAACAATTATATAACAGTTGTTTGAAAAGTATATATATAAATAAAAAAGAAATTAATAAATGTACTGATCGATTTATTATTCATATAAATATTTTAAATCTTACTGACCCCAAATTTTTGAACGGTGAGTTTATTTATTTATTTATGATTTAACGCCATGTCAGCAGCAGTGGCTATATTCATGGCAAGAGGAAACATTTCAATTTCACAATTCAGTCATATATATCATTTCAAACAATTATATAACAGTTGTTTGAAAATTATATATATAAATAAAAAATAAATTAATAAATGTACAAATATACAAAAACATAACTTAAATGATTTTAGCAAATGGCTGCAATATAACAAAGAGTGAAAAATTTAAGGGGGTCTGAATACTTTCCGTACCCACTGTATATGTCAAATTTACAAACTAACTGAAAAGAATTAGTGTTTTTTACCAATGCCAAGATGTGTGTTGATGGATGCGTAACGCGCAGTGCCCGTCAGGTTCTTGTTCTCACGATAGGGAATGTGCTGGTGTGTTCGTGCATCACGGTATTTCTTGGCCAGACCAAAGTCAATGATGTAGACCAGGTTGCCTTTCTTTCCCAAGCCCATCAGAAAGTTATCAGGCTTCACATCTCTGTGAATGAAGTTCTTGGAGTGGATGTACTCAATGCGGCTAATCTGAGGAATGCAAGGTTTACAAAAAAAAAAAAACATTAAAAAGTTGTACATCTGCAGCAAACTATTTTTTACTCGTCAACATGATTTTGTATCATACCATCTGATCAGCCAACAGCAGGACAGTCTTCAGGCTGAACTTCCTGGAGCAGAAATTGAAGAGATCCTCCAGACTGGGGCCGAGCAACTCCATCACCATCACGTTATAATCTCCTTCTGCACCACACCACTTTATAGTAGGAATGCCAACTGCAAAGGGAGCACACAAAACACCTAAATACACAGCCTGGAAACCCAATAGATGCTTGTTGGCAAGTATGAATTATTTCATTGATTACATTGATTTATTGAGCCCCTCAAACCCTTATTTACAGATGAATCAAAACCCTTTTCTCATTACCTCCACCCTGCATCATCTTGTATATCTTGCTCTCAATGTGGAGCTGTGGGTGCTTTGTCTTCACACATTCCAGTTTGATGGCCACTTCCTCTCCAACTGAAATGTCTGTGCCTAGGGCAGAGCGAGAAACAGAGAAGGAACAGAGCCATTAAAACAGTGAATGAGGTCAGAACACAGCCTGAATCTCCAACAAACTGACATGACTGTAGATCATAATTAATTGACCTTTATAATTTGTGCATACACTACTGTTCAAAAGTTTGATCAATTTAATGCATCCTTGCTGAACAAAAGCATTAATTTATTTCAGCAAATTCAGTCATTATACAATGATCCATAAGTCCGAACCTTTCTCCAAGACAGTCAATGCAAATTCGTTTTTTTTTTTTTTTAAGAATTCTTATCTTTATCCTAAAGGACCTGGTTTGCCGGTTGGTCACGAATTTCCACAAATTCAATAATATTTAGGAATTGTTTCTTTTCCTAAATCCTCACCGTCTAGCCCATAATTTCGCAGGTTTATTTTATTGTCATTCACTTCTTATCACTGTTTTCGCATCTAAGGGAAATGAAAGATTTCATGGCCATGAATTAAGAATTCGTTCGATGTATTAATTTGGAACTTTGTGTTGTTTCTATTTTAATGTACTTTTAAAGTTTAAATCACATTAAAAGCTTAATTTGTACATTATGAGTGAATGATGATGCATTTATATACCGTCACCGTCACTCACAGCCGCTCGCACGTATTTTGCGCATGAGCCGCACGCAGCCCAAAATTAAATAGCTTAATCGACCATCGATAGCTTTAATCGATTGCATCTCTTATCGACAATTAATCGATCATCGATTAATCGTTGACATCCCTAGTTGTAGTCATTTATTTGATTACCACCAATGGTAATACATTATTATTCAATCATAAAATACAGAATCCAGAAAAACTGACTATGAACAGTTGATTATCCCTTTCTTATTATTTAAACCATTAAAACAAAATCCAGAAAAAAAGTTAAACTGTGAGAACAAAGTATTTGTTTAAAGGGGTCATATGATGCTTTTTTTTAAAGATCATTATTTTGTGTATTTGGTGTAACAGAATATGTTGACATGCTTTAATGTTCAAAAACCACATTATTTTTAAAATACTGTACATTATTGTAGGTCCTCTATGCCCCGCCTCTCTCAAACGCTTTGTTTTCTACAA